GGGCTCAGGAGATAGGATCTTTCCTCTCTTTTCTTCCCCTGTAATGTCAACACTGTGGTTTTTAGAAAATAACTTGCACGTATGCTCCGAAATTCCAGCTTTGGCTCTGACTTGTCCTGTGCTGTTACCGCTTTGTTGGGATTGATGTGATTTGACAGCTCTTGTCCCTCTAAGAAACTAATTTTCAAATTATGTATTACAAAAGTTTGATCAAAAGATAAAGCTTGAGCTAAGATGAATAACTTACTGATATCAAGAAGAAAATGGAATGGGGCAGAGCTGAGAGCCTGGAACACTGATGTGTTCCCAAAATATTTCTTGTGGAGGAGTTCTGCTGGCCACTGTGTGTGTCTCATTGCCACTACTGTTTCTGAAGATGAGGCTATGTTTACCAAAAAAAAAAAAAGAAAAAATTGGTTAACAAAGATTTTTTCAGAGTATTCTGTACATTGATAATTTTATTTTTGATTCAGAAACTTAAGTCCTTAGACCTGCCAGCCATGTTCCTTAAGTTCTGTTCAGCACTGTTGATGCAGACTGACAAATTCTTTCTAGGTCAAGTTGGAATCCATGAAGGGGACATTGTCCCTCACCTGTCAGTCATCCCTTAGCTACAGGTCACTGCCCTTGCTCCATGGAGCAGGACAGAGCTGTAACACCTCTTACTTGACTTCAGTACAGAGTGAGGCAGATTTCTTTACTTAGGGATTTAAGCATCTTAAATCAGAATTGTTTTCCTTTGCCCTGCAGTGAGCTTGCACAGGCATTCTCCATATCCTTGCTGAGAGACAGCAGCTTGATAAATCACTCCATCTGACAAGAGCAAGTTTTTACTTCTTGACTGGTATCTTCAGCCCAGTCACAAATGAGGTGGGTTTTTTTCCATTCTTCAGATGTCTGGTTATGTGAGAAACGAATATGTGTATGCAGTGGTAAAATCTGTCAACCCTCCTCCTTAAGGCACAAGTTGTTAGGCTGAGGGAGCAGCAGCTGGCTGTGCCCCCCTGGGGGACAGAACCTCTGCTGAGGGACCCCAGAAGGGACCTCTGGGCTATGATCCTGCAGTCCCTTGGGAAGAATCACTTCAGTGTGATACCTTCATTTGAATGACACTTTCAGGAGAGATCTCTCTGAAAAACATAGATGTGTTTATACATGTGTGTCTCTTCCTTTGGGTATTTAGCTTTTTCCATTCTGTGCATTTTAGTCCAAGGATGCGTGTCCAGGGAGATCAGGGCGGATTGCTGGCAGGCTCTGCAGCCCGACGGGGCCCTGCTGTGGAAAACCTGCATCCCCTAGATCCTTCTTAAATTGCACAGTGCTAAGTGATTTGTGATTCCAGGCTGAAAAGCCTTACTGCTACTTTAGGCTTCTTGAAAGTGAGACAAACGAATGTTTTTCTTATTGCTGCCACGTTGGAGAGCCAGTGTATGAACTGTGCTGCAAATGTAGCTCGTGAGTTCAGAGCAGCAGCTCTTTAAGCCTCTGTCCTTCAGACACAGGCAGCTGTGGCAGGTCTCAGTGCAGGAGCAGTGTTTCTGCTTCCTGGGATGACACAGGAGAGAAGATGCACCAGTGCCACAGTACAAGGTAATTAATTTTTCTTTAGATGTCTTTTATTATATAAATAGTCAGCATTACCCTGGTGACTGCACAAATACATCAATAGAATAATGCAGCTGTACTTGTGAGGGTCTGTTATCACATTGCAGTCTGAGCAGCTCTGGCATGCAGAACCTTTCATGGTGAGCTCCTGTTTCTTGATTTACTTGCTCTGAAGCAGCAAGTGGGAATATTTGTTTCAGACTTGGAGGTTTCTAAAACATGGGAAGTTTTTATTGAATGTATAGAAAGTTGCTCACTTTATGAAAAGACTGTAATACCAAGTATTCAAGAACTGAAAGCCTTCACTGAGTGAGAGAATTTAATAAAACTTGGAACTTGCTAGCAGAGGAAGGGATGTCACCTCATACTACACTGGTTTCCCAATCTTAAGGAAGTTGGGTGTGATGTAGCACCAGTTAAATGCAGACTGCAGCACTTCAAATGCAGCCATAGGCTGGGCAGTCAGACTTCTACACTCTGAAAGCTCTTCATCAAAGGTTTGACAGATCATTTGGCTTGTAAGAATACCTGATCAATCTCTCTTGAGGACAAAAGAACTTAGATGTCTTTGGGAGAAAATAAGTTCTTCATAACTTTTTTCATAATCTTTTATGAAATTATGAAAAATAGAAGTATAGTTCTAGAAAGGTTTTTTTAAATGGGAATTTTTAAAGGAATTTAAATTAAGAAAGAATATTACTAGTTGCATAAAAGTGTAATTAAACATTTATGATACTGCAAAGTCATACTTTCCATGTGCCTACATAAAGCCAAGCATTCTTTTTGTGCTCCTCTTGTTTCTGTTCTGAGATTTGGGGCTGGGGTAAATGAATGACTCTCATGTGTGTCCAAGCTCTTAAGCTCTGCTTTACCCTCTTCCTGTTGTGCAATCTATTTTCCCAGGAGTTTGTCAGTCACAGTGGAGTAATGCATTTATTCCCTGAACTTGGATTCACCAGGACTCGTGGGGTATTTCATGACTCCCTTCTGGAAGGTGCCTGTAGCGTGATCATGTACAGCCCATCAGTATTCCTTGGAATCTCTGATATCCAAGGTAAAAGGTAGTGCAAGAATCATTCTGAAGAACACATCATGGGGGAAAAAAATATTTTTCTCTAGAAGGGTTGTGTAGGCGTTTAATACCATCTCAACTTGATGATGTTCATAGGGAAAAATATTAAAGCTGCATATCTGAAGGGGAGTGGGATCTATACTTGGATTATTACACTAATATTTGCCATTAGGCTGCCAGACTGGCTAAATCTATCTCAGGAGCCAAGCCCTTCACCACAACTTGATAATCCCTCTGTGGTGGGTTTCACCTGGGAATGAAAACCCTGCTGAAGTCCAACCAGGCTTTTTACCTGTGTCTAGAAGTAATAAATTATGTTAGGAGCTAGATTAAGAAGAGCTTCAGTGCGTTACAGTCTGAAGAATCCATAAAAGTCAATTTGCAAGATGGTAGTAAAACTTCCTCACTGCCTTCATGCTGAGCTCCCGTAAGCAGATGTGAAATCAAAGAGGGGAAGGATTGTTTTTTATGGCATGTGACTGTTGCCATGAGATTCTTGGTTGCCATCAGAAAGGTAATTTTGCTAAATGGCTGTGATCAGCAACCAATTGAGACATAGGAAAGTGCTGCATTAAAATAGCATTCCATCAGTTTCTGTGCACTTTGTTCAGCTACCCAGAGCTCGGAAGCAAGAAAGCAGGGCCTTTCAAGGTTAGAGCTTGTCATGCTTGGGTAAAGCAATTCAGGAGAGCCTAAACACAACAAATCAAAATCTGTGAAATGATGCATGGCTTCACACTGCTGTAATTTTGAAAAAGTATGTATAGATTTCCATTCTTCCATTCCAAAGAGCCCTTGAAGTATGTCAAGTATTTATAGCTGTGGATGTCTCACTTGTACATGTGAGAGTTAATGACTCACTCCTTTCCCAAACAATTGAAGTGCTTCCTGAGTAGCAGAGAAAACATTCACTCTTCTGCTCCAGTACTGATTCACATTCTGATTCACATTTGTTTGTTGTGTGGCAAACACCATTTGGCATGTTTACTCCTAGGTCTTAATTACCCTGAAGCAGTACTTTGCTCTTTATAGGTCTTATTTCCTTTCCCTCGCTCAACTGTAGCATGAAACAGCACCTAAATTAATCCAAAAATAATGGCTTAGTTCTTCCTCCTAGCTTTCTTCCTCTCCCCAGCTGCCTCTGCTTCTTCCCCTGCCACCAGCACCTGTGGGCCCTCCGCTGAACTTGAGTCAACTGGTTAAAGCAGCAGCGAGTTACTCCAGTGGAGAAAAGGGAGTTTTAGCACTAGGCTTGCAATTCACATTGGCTCGGTGATGAGGCTGGTAAGCATCAGGAGCAGCACACAGGAAGGAGCCACACTGGCACCAGGAACATGGTACGGGAGAGGGACCTGTGCAATCTCTGTATTTAACACAATGAAAGTAGTGAAATTCTTCATTCTGCTTAACCATAACTTTTGTTAAAGATGTATGTTGCTTTTTGTCCCTGAAAGAGCTTCTCCTGAGGCATATGAGAAGGAAACAGAGCGTGTGGGGCCAGAAGAGAAGGGAATGGTTCTGGGATCCCCTATGTAATCCCTAATGGTTACCCAAGCCCTCAGATCACATTTTGGCAGATGTCTTGAACAGGCCATTTTAAAGAGCTGCTTGTCTCTTGGTTAGCACTTATGTCACTTGGTTAGGTACTCATGGACCTGTGTCCAGAAATTCATCCCAGAAAAGCTGGGCATGAGTCAAGTGCTTGTTTAGCCGAGTTGCTGTTTACCCAGATGAGTTCAACCTGTGGCCATGCAGAAGGATATCGGCATCACCAGGAATGAGTTATGTCAAACTTTTTTTTTACAGCCACTTGGCCGTTACATTCCATCTGCTTATCACAGATCTGTTGTTCTCTCATTTGTGCAGAAAATGGGCTCATAGGGCTGTGCTGGAAAGCAGGCCATGGAAGCCTTGTGGGCTTAGCACCTGGAGTGGAGAGGTGCCTCTGGAGCAGCAGATCTGCAGAACAGCAGCAGCAAGATTTTAAGAGAGCTGGGTGGGGAGGTGACAATTTTCAGAGTTGAGTTTGTCACAAGAAAATAAATATTCATTACCCATACTCTCACATTGTGTACATTTCTGATGCTTTAATTCAAAAAAGTCGGACATATAGCCAGTAACTGGTTGTTGAAAAATGCAATGAAACATTTGTGAGCTAAACATAGCCTATAGGATGTGGTTAAAATAAAGTTCTTTGTAGGATTTGGGCTTTGTGACTGCAGCATGCTTTGAATTGTAGGTCCTGTGGACTGTTGTAAAGGCTGTCTGTGCTCTGCAGAAGAATCTGTAGCAGCTAGATCAGATCTCTCCAAGATGGTCCTCTTTGCATGGGTTGTTACTCAATCACTCTTCATTCTCTTCATTCCTCTGCCCTTTATGCTTCTGCCTGGTTTTCTTCCTCCCTTTTACATGCTTGATGGCATTTATATTTCCCTCAAGGTATCTCTGCTATTTAAATGTACCAGTGGTACTTGTTGTTCTCCCACTCCCAAACAACACAGATTTGCTTTCCCTTTTGATAATTTTTGTTGTTGACGGATTACCTGGCTGTGTTATTTCTGCTTCATTAATTTCACAAGTTAAATATTTTAACAGGTAATCAATACTACAGAGAGTTTAGCAAAGCAATTTAGCAAAAACACTGGTGGGAAACCAGCAATCATCCTCTGCCCAAATAAACTAATATAGAAACCCAAAGTTTCCCTTCCACATCCCACACAAATGTCTATCTTCACACACAAATAAAAATATTTGGAATGTTACGAGAGTCCTGTGGGTTCTTTAAATGAAATGACCTTCTCTTGCTATCCCAGGTTTTAAAAAAATAATCATTGGAGACCCAAAATGCTTTCCCTGAGCTATTCTCTTACTAGACCACACAGATTGCAGTTTGTGCGTTGTGAGGACAGGGCAGGGTTGTGCTGTAATGGAGTTTATTAGGGAAACCTGGAGTCAGGTCATCCATGGACCAAGACAGATTAGAGAATCACAACTGGAAGCTGGCTTTTTGTCATCCTTCTCTGCAGCATTTGAAAAAGAAATTGAACTAATAGCCCTCACACCTCGAAGCTGTGCCTTCAGGGAGCCATTATGTTCACTCCTCTTTGCACAGAGGATAAATTTATTTTATAATCAAGTGTTGTTAATGCGCGGAAGAACATCTGCTTTTTAATGCTGAAAAATGAGCAGAATTTGTCTTCTGAGTATATCGCAAATGGTGCTGCAGTTCTGGAGAAATCATTTTTGTTCAGGTTTTGGGAGTTTAAAGTAATGCAAAATTTTAGGAGTTTCATCTTCATGGAATTAGGAGTACAACAGAAAAGATTTGTTTATTTTTAGAAACTTAGAAAGCTGCTTCTTGGGGTACTTTTGACTTGTTCTCCTCTGCTGTCTACAAAAAAAAAAGTGAAATGTGTCAAGCTGTAATCTCTGTGTTGAATACCACTCTTTCTCCCAGGTTGCATTGTCCATCAGATGACTTTGATTATCTTTGTAGTCTTGGTAATGGCTGACTGTAACAAGTAAGGCTGTAACTCGTTGCAGTATCTGGTTGGGCTTGCATATTAATGAAAAGCAGAACAAAAAGCCTGTCTGCTTTTCCACCAGGTTCTCATAGAAGGAGTTTTGTCTCCAGAACGTTTTGGCAGGATTATTTAGTGATTTCATACTGATGTGTCAAACACATTCACATATTAACAAATAAATTTGGCTAGGATGCAAATATTTGTTTATATAATGTATTGCAGCAGTTGTATTTTGGTAATTTGCTGTTCTTTTTCTTCCCTTCCTTGGTTTTTAGACATAAATAGAAGTGGGTTGTCCTTTATTCGTATATTGAGAAATTCAGTTTGCACCTGCCTCCAAGGTGCTAAACTGTCCTTTTCCAGCAAGTTCAGCTTAGCTAATCTGGAAGATGGATTTAGTGAGTTTCTTACTCTAATAACTCAGTCCAAACTCAGAGCTACATAAAAAATACCAATCTGGAATCCTGTGTCTGGTAGTGACTACATCCTTTTTGTGAGAGACTCAGGGAAAAGGAGACAAAATCTCTTCCCAAAAGAAGAAAGTTTCTTTAGGGACCAGCTGCTGATTTTTGGATTTTGTTCAGAGAACTAATCAAATTGGATCTTCAAAACTGAAAGCCAACTATTAATGTGGATTCAAGAGACAAGCTGTTGCCAATCTAAGAAAATTACTTCCATTTTTCTCTTCAGGGTGAAAACCAAAACAAAGCTGAAGTGACCAGTTTAAAACAGTATGAGCATTTTTTTCCTGTGACTTTTACTCTGTGTGGGTAGGAGGGAGGAATTAATGAGGTTATTGTCAGAATTTTTTTATTAGGTGATCTGCCAATTAACCAATTATTTTTCTATAGATTGATTATATTTAAAATAAGCTGTGGTGATTGAAAATCTACCCCAACTTTTTGTGAAACCTTGGAATAATTCTTGCAAGAAATGTGTCCTTGGACGAAACTGCCTAATGAAGTTGATGGTGTTTGATAGCCACATGTCAAATGTAGATAAATATTTTATAGTTATGGATCGGTTATCCACTCCATTCTAGAGTAATGGATCTGGTATCTGCTCAGCTGGAGCTTTTATGCTGCTGATTGTCCTTTTGGGACTTAGAGGAAAATGGAAGCACTTGAGGTCAGTGGAAAATTTTCAGCGTCAGGATGGATAGATTAGATTTATGGTGGAAATTCAAGTCTGTTCATGTTTGGAAAAGGTGGAGGAATGTTTTTTAAGTGAGAAGTGTCATTTTTATGACCGAAACAATTCACAGAACTGCATTAATTGTCCAGAGCTACTTTACTGTTTTTCCCTTTTTTTTTTCCAAGGGAGTTGAAATACATTTTGTTGAACCTGTTAACTTTGGATTGTTTTGTATGGTGGTATCACGTTGTGTAAGCATAACACTGGGAAAAAAAAAAAAAAAAAGCTGTGGAGTATCTAATTTCCTTGACAAAATGTTTTTACTCCTCTCAGTTTGGGGCAGAAAACAAATTATTGGAAAACTGGGGTTTATTGAGGTTTTTTAACTATCTCTAAGTAGAGGAGAGAGCTGAGGTTCCAATTCCCTGTGGTTCCTCATTTCTTGTCCTGGTCTGTTCCATCATCACCACCCCCTTGTCACACCCAGTGCATCCCTCAGTGGCCTTTTTGCTACTCTGCCAAGGACAGAATTTGAACTGTCAAGCCTCCTCAGCAGTCTGTTTACTAGATGGTACTTTTCCCCCACAGAATTTGCAGATTTTAAGACACAGTAGTTCTAATGCTCCCTTTAGTTGGCTGGCAGTTGTTAAGGGAGGGCATGTAACAATAAACTTCTTTTTCTTAGAATACCAATATGGACATGCAATTTATAGAAAATTAGTCCAGTGGAATAGTTAGAGTTTATTGAGAATGTTACTATATCGTGCCCAACTCAAGTTTTTACCTAAGAATTACGACAGTTCTAGAAGAGCATTTCTCTAAATGTTTCCATGATCAGAAATACCTTCCAAAAAAAAAAAAAAAAAAAGCAATGATGTGGTAGGAAATTAGAGTTGCCTCTTGTATATAATCTGAAGTTTTCTTGTGTGTGGGATTAGTTTCCAGCCAGATTAGGGAGCACATCTATCAGGCTGATTACGCAACCCACAAGCGCTTTCATCTGCTCCAGCTGCCAGAGAAGTGCAGGGATAGTCCCTTCGACCAAAAGTGCAGATTTTTATCTTTTACACAGACTGTAAATCCTTACCTTAAGAAATGTTTTGTTAACATGCAGATGGGCTCAGGATGGCTCAGCTGCTTCCTTACACTTTAAAGAGAAAAACAAAGCTCCAGAAGCTTTGCTTTAAATGGAGTTGTGTTGGGAATAATCGATCATTTTGTGAGTAAACTTACTACTGAATAAATTTGGATGTTTTGGAGCAGAATGCTCTGTAAACACATCTTATACCTTACCAAAGTAAGAGGGTGGTTCTTCATAAGGTCTGGTACACTGCTGTATTCCTACTGCATCAGTTTTGCCCAGTTTTCAGCTTCAGATTAAAAGTTCCAGACCGATGTCTAGACTTGTAAAATACTGGAATTAGAGGTGTCAGTGTCACAGAGTGAGCTGAAATGTGGTGGATTCAATTGTGACTTGTTTTCAAGCTTCTTTTTATTTTTTTCTTTAAACCTAAAATAATTGTACCTTAAGATCTAGTCTGCCATTCCAGATTCTTCTCTTCCATTTCAGTTGATTTTTCAGGTTCATTTTGGAGGATGTATCTTCCAGGGTATGGGGACGGATGGGATGTGACAAGATGCTGGTGATAGTGGCACCACTCCAAGAGCTGTGAGTCTCTTTCCTGGTTTGTAAATGTTCAGGATCAGGTTTTAAAAAGTGCACTGGTTTCTGCTCCTCCTTCCTTAGGAGAGCACTGCTTAGGCTGGACTGGCACAGAGTGCTTTTGGCTCAGCTCTTTTCACTGCTTGGCATTTCATCATGCCAAGGCATGCTCCAGGCTCGGCATTCATCTGCTGCACTGAATAACTGAGCTGATAAAGGTACTGAGCACTTGCTCCATCAGGCAGGGGCAGGACTGTGTGCTGATTGCTGAGTGGCTGACAAAAAAATGTTTGAGAGATTATGTCCCTTTGTTTCTCAGTGCCTTGCTTCCTGTTCCCTGTGTAATGAACTTGTCTCAGTTCCATGTGTGAAACACTGTCTTGTCCTGTTGAATGTCAGTCTGTTTTTCACTCGGGATTACTGCAAAGACATTTTAAAAATGTTTAGCTTACAACAGGTAATTGATGGTTCCTTAGTAATACTGTTTGTGTTCTCCAAGCCCTTTGAGAAAAGGTATCTCATGGGTCTTGAGTAGATGATAAAGCAGTGATAATGAATAGTTTGCTTTTATGGACCTAATTGAGAAATAAATTTTGCCCTTTGACATCCAGTACATTTTACCCTGTAGTAGTTGATCTTCAAGATTATTTATTTTTGCCTTGCTTGAGATAGACATTTGTCCCTGTACAATCTGCATTGCCATCAGCTGCCATCCTCCTCATCCAGCAAGTCACACTTGAGGGAGCTCATTTGAGATAATAACTAATGCAGAGAATCTCCAGCCTGTGCTCAGCTTGGAGCTTGAACACAGTAATTACACCCATTTTGAGCCTCCAGCGAGCATTTGCACTAGGAAAGGAACAGATGAAAACTGAGAGAGGAGGCAAATCGAAACTGAGCATCCTTCTTAGGTAAAATACTTTTAAATTTCCATGTTGCAGGAATGATCATTTAGGTGAATGTTTGAGCATTGATAGTTTGAACACTTGGGAGAGGTGTGTGTCTCAGGGCTGTGCAGGAAGGTGGGGATGCAGTGTGCTTTTCCTTCCCCCAAAAATACCAGTCCAGAATTTCCCATGGAGCCTGTGCAAATTACATATCCACAGAGAAATAAGTGACTGCTGTATGGAGGGATGGGAATTGCAACAAAGCATTAGTAGTTTATTAAAAATCTCCTCTGCAGAGGGTAGAAATTTTATGATTCAGTAAGGTTTTTAGGTTGTTGGCTGCTGCAGTGCTTCTTGTTCTTACCCTGAAAGTCCAAAGAAAATGATGCTTGGTTGTGACAGTGTAGCTCAGTTTTTTAAGGATGCCCTGCTTAAAGGAATATTCACAGGGCTTAATAATGTATTATTCAGCTTTAAGGTTTATTTGTGGAGATTTGAATTCAGGAAATGGCATTGTTATGCAAGAACTGGAGCAGCTAAAAGGAAAGGAGATTAATATGCTCAGATTTGGAAGGGGAAGCTGGGGTTGGAGGATTATGTTAGCTCAGGCACCGATTTTCATATTTATATAAAACTTTCTCCTAAACTTATTTTTCTTCAGAGCTGAATTGGGATTCAGGATCAAAAGTATGTTACTGATGCATAGAAACTGAAGATATTTCTACTCTTTGTGCAGAACTTTTCCCACTGATTCAGGAGATCTGGGCATGCTTCACTGTAGGCATTTCTTTCCAGGGACTCATTAAAATGAATGTACAAGTAGCATCAGATAATTTTTATTCAACTATGTTATTAACAAAATAGAAAGTTGAAGTGATTAAGCTATGAAACTGTAACTATCCCTTGGGAACAGCTCAACAATTGTGCTTCAGAATGTTTCCTATTTGAATTCAGTGCTTATTTCAACAGAGGAGAGAGGCAGCAATACAGAGATGAGCTTGTGTGTCTACAGATCGACAGACTGGCATTTGCAGAGGAGTTTACATTGTGTTGTGTTTAAAATGGAGAATTTAATGCAGATTTTTCATCAAGCTGGTGTATGTTTTATATGTTTCATTTTGTTGCTGTGTACATTACCTGCAAGTCATAAAAAATAGAAAATTTCAAAGTTCTGTAAGGTTTCATGCCATAAATTCTGTCACAAGATACCGCTTGAAATTCCAGTATAAAAATTTGGTATCTCACATATTGCTTTCTCTTATTACTGAGAAAAGCACAGCATTGCATCTTTGATGTTATATTACTTTTTCACGGGGAGAGGAAATCTCTTTGAACAGAGGAATGAGTTATAAAGGAGTAAGATTAGAGAAAATTAATCTATAGCAATGGAGTAACTTAAGATCCTCAGGGAATGCATACCTTATCCTGTTAAAAAAAATAAATCTCTTCAGTTTCAGAAAGGAAAATAAAGATTGTCAATCGCTTAATGAAGTATCTAATAAAAAGTTAGTATTGAAAGCTACTGACCTAAGGCCAGTTTAAAGAGTAATTTGTCCATGTAATCTTTCTCTCCTGTCTACAGGAAAACCCGGGGCTCTTCAGGCATAACTTATGTCCTGTATTCTGTGTGCACCTGTAAGGTAATGTGTCCATGCTGTAACTTTCAGGACAATAAATGTATATTGGGAACCTTATTTCCCACTGCAGCTGGACTGAGAGAGGGGATTCTGGCATCCTCAGCTGGACAGGTCCTGGAGGAGGGCTGGAAGTCCCATGGCCTTTGTGATTTATCCAGCAGTATCTCAGCAGCCTCCAAAACACCCCAGCTGTCCAGCTGAGCATTTGTGTGTGGTCTGTAGCCAAATGTTCTGACCTGTTATGAATGAGAAAGTTGTTCTAAAACTTTTAGTGCCTGAGGAGAGGTGTGTGTGTGCAAAATAAGATTCTCAACTGCAGAAGTCCCTGCTGAGCAGTGGGCAGGCTGGGAAGAGGCAAGGTGAGATACTCTGGTGCATAATTACACCCATTCTCAATAAGTGTACATGGTATGTGCATTTCTTCACTGCACATATCACAAAATACCTGCTGTTTATGGCCCACCACTGTGCTAGGAAATGCCTCACAGGACTGTGTTTTCTTACAATTTTAAACTAAAAGCTTTATAATGGGATGTGCAAATAAAACTTACTGAGGACTGAGACTTTGAGGTAGAAACCTCAAAACTTTGGGAGATACTGATTTAGAAAATTCTACATAATATTTGCCTGTACAAATACAAAGCTTTAAAATGTTAACATAGATAATTTCTCACTTGCAGGTAGCAGATCTTTAAAGACCCATGACAAAAAACAAATGGAGAAAGGCAGCAAATCTTGGTAGCCTAATATGTTTTTGTTTTTTTTTCCAAAAGGCATTTCTGGGCTAAACCTTTGGTAATTGTCATTCCAGGAAAAGCAACAATAATTTTCACTTGTTCAAACTTCACTGCCATTAAAGAATAGTTCTCGGTTTTCTGCTTTTCCTCCTTTAGAAGTGTTTGTTGCTTTTGGCAGGTGAGGACACACAAAAGCTCAGGACCATTTGGTTTGATTATTTTGGAGGAGCTGGAGCTGTTTGAGAAGATAGGAATTTCTGTTTAGAATGGAAAACTGATCTTAATGGTCTCTTTGGAGACAGAATGGTTTTTCAAAAATTATTTTACTTCTGGATATTAGCAAATAACTTTTCTGTGGAAGAAAGGTATGTAGAGACTGAAATATGTCACCACTGAACATGTGTCCAGATAAATTACACCAATTACTGGTTTTAATTTTGATTAAAAGTAATAATTTCACAACAGCAGTGTTATTCTGGCAGTACTTGCTTTTCTTGCAGTATTCATACTTCATCCACTGCTCACCCTCACTCTGTGCTCATCTCATGGGGTGTGGCAGGGTGAGCGCTGTCCCAGTGAGCAGTCAGGAATTCTGTCAGGAGGCTGACCCCAGTCACCCTGCAGATCATCCAGAGCTGGAGCTTTTCCTTTTAATTCGGGGGTCATGTTTATTTAGCCACAACTTTGTGGATCAGGGAGTGCTATTTATAGGCTGAGACATTGTTGTGTTAGTCTGACAAGTTGACACATACAAAATTTTATTTTGAAGTATTTAAGTTTTTTTATGTAATGAACTTTATGTAACCTCATGAAAGCCAGAAGGAAAAACTGTATCTGTTAATATGCCATGTTTTAAATTTTCTTCCATGAATGTATGCTGCTAATATTTAATCTTCAGCATATCCCAGATCATGCACTGAAATACTAGTTTTGTCCTATCATATCACCTTTCATCTAAGATGGGGATTTTTTTACTAACCTTGAATTAGTTGTTCTTAGTTTAATTAGGTTTAAGCATTAAGGATACACTGTAATTGTGAAAGAAAGTTTGAAAAGATAGCACCTTTTTCTTCATCTTTGTGTCCTGTTTCAAAGGAATATGCAGTATGAAACCTCAGTAAAAACTCTCTTTACAGGAAGATAACCATTATTCTTTTGATAATTTCTATCAGCACTATTTATGGAATATATAGTTACCCATTCCTTGTTTCTATTAATTCATGGTTCTTCTGTTCTATTTTAAGTGCTGTTTTTTCTCCTTGTAGTTCCAAAATGTCATCAAACAGTGGAACAGTCCCCGTGCTATGGCCCACTGGAAAAGCCTTCAGGGGTGGGTGTTGGTGTGGAAAGGCAGAGCTTTAGTCAGACACTCTTGGCTTTGACAAGGCAGCACAGGGCTGTGCTTCACTGCTTGCAATAGAAACTGCTGTGAGTAAAGGGGCATTTGCTAAAAAGGAAATTGTAATTAGGGAAATAGCATGTTCCTTAATTGCTGCCATTTCAGAATGATCGACAGTAAAATGGGTGTTTGTGTCCTGTTTTTGAAGGAATGGGATAGGATGGGCTGGAAGAAGCACATCTGGGTTTTAAGTGTTTTTAGCCTGTCTCATGTAGCAGTTCTATATGTTGGTTTTGTAACTGGAAAGGAGAGTTCACTGGGCATGTGGAGAGGGAGGGAAGGTACAGCAGCTCATATACAATGTCCTCTGGAAAAAACTCACATGATCCGTGTAAATGGAGTGAGA